TGGGTTGATGCCGCGGGTGCTCGCAAATTAGTAGGGGGCAAACTTCCTTCGTTCATGAAAGTTCTTGTGAACTATTGTCCAAAAGACAGATCCTTTTTGCTCGGCACCTTTCATGGGATCTTGGCCTATCTCCATCCAACTTTTGCAAATCAAAGTGTCCTCATCTAGGGTGTACGATCCCGTGCGAATGCTTTGCCTCCTCTTTTGTGCCTCGGGCCTTTGGGTGAGCGCTCATTGATAAACACCAATGGCTCGGCCGAAATGTCGATCTTTTCTTCCTCATCTTCATAATACAAGCCATCATCTTCATGCCAAGAGTTGACATGGTCGTCCTCATCTTCATCATGGCCGGCGAATTGAGTGTCTTCATAGTGGCCGCAGCCGTCCTGGCTATGGGTGGCGTCGGGATCAAAATCTTGGGCGTGGTCGTCGACGTGGAAGGCCTCACCACGGCCCTTGAAGATGAAGTTCTCCATGAACGCGTACTCAGGGTCGTCGGCCGTGGGCGTCGACATTGGCATTTTGTCGAACAGCCTGTGGGCGCCGGCCATGTTCGCCGAAGGGAACGACCGGGGCTGCTTCCTTTGCGCCTCCTCGGATGGTTGGCCAGCGCCGTTGTACCTCGGTGTGACGTTGAGGTCGATGACGCGCGCAGGCGTGGCCGGAGCGACCATGCTGCAGACCAGCGAGGTGGAGAACCGTGTCTACCCATGGCCGTGAAGCGGCGGCACATGATACGTCTCGGGCATGATGGACGAGCTCGGGGAAAGGTGCTGCCGAGGACGATCGGCCGACGAGCCTTTGCTGGCTGCGGCCATGGCAGCGACCGAGAGGATGGCCGGCGGGGGTCGACACAACCCTAACATGAGGAGGGCGTGCGCCTTGGCAATGATGGACTCCTTGTCATCGATGTCCGCCTGGTGCTGCGCGGCATGCAGCGCGGTGGCGTAGCCCGCAGCGACCTTCTTCTCCTTATCCTTTGCCCGCCGGCTCCTTCTCTTGGCCGATTCGGGATCAAGCTTGGCTACCTCCGCAGGTGAGCTCCGACCGCGACTTCGTGGTACCCTTCTTCTTCGCCGCGGGGCGCGCGGCCGCGGTCGGGTCACCGGGATTCTTCGGGTCGTCGGCCATGATGGCGCGGGAGAGTTTTGGGCAAAACGGAGGGAAAGTGTGGGCGATCGTGTCCACGACAGGCGGGCCAGGGGAGGACAAGGGCGCGCGTCCCGCCCGTCCATGCGTTGTCCGTTCGGCCGCAAACGCGACCCAAAGTTGGGTCAGGAATGGATCGAAAGCGAACCAAAAAGGCACAACGGTCTGTTTGCTCTCGCGCGTTGGGCGGTCTGTATTATCTGTTTATCCTTTATTATCCCCAAACGGACACGGACTGGTCATTTAGTGTCGTGCGGTGGAGTTGCCCTTACGAACCAGGAAAGGTGACCGATCCTATGCTTGCACCAGTCGACCGACGGACGCCAAACGTTGACAATTTTCAAATCACACTGCGTGGTAGTTTTGTCATAAGTCAAATCTAGAAAGGTCTGAGCAAGTTTACACAAAGTGCATCAGCATCCGCGGCATATATGACAGCAAATGCTTTCCGCGGTGTGTCAGGCAGGAAATTTTCTCCAAAACCAAACCGACGCTCACGTTCTGCTGCCTGTCGCTCTGCCTCTGGTCACCCACCCCAGCCCGGCCTCCAGAGCGCCCAACTCGATAACCTCACGAGCCCACGACGCGCACGCCCGTCGCACCAGCACCCGCACGCCGCACGCACCAGCCCCCGCACCCGCGCCCCCGCCCACGCCATCCAAGCCAGCGGCCGGCCCCGAGCGCCATGGAGGCCGACGCGGCGACCCCGTCCCCACCGGGGTCGAGGAAGCGCTCGTCCCGCCCCAGGCCGCGCCCGGACGACGGCCGCCCCGAGCCCTACCCTAGCCCGCGCGGCTCCCCCTCCCGCAGGAGCGAGCGCACGCGCCGGCCCCGCGCGCCCCCGGACTCCGACGCGGTGACCGCGCCCGCCGACCGCAGGGCCCGCGCGCCCTCGCCCGCCCTCCGCAGGCCCGTCCGCGCCTTCCAGGAGGCCGCCGCGCTGGCCGCGCTGGCCGCCAGCGCGCCCGCCGCGTCCTCCTCCGGCGCCAGATCCTACGGCGTGGTCTGGAGCGACGCCGACGAGGTGGCCCTCCTCAACGCGGCGGCCGCCTTCCGCGTGCGCCACGGCCGCGTCCCGGGCCTCCCGGACATGGGCGCGCTCTTCGACGCCATCCGGGGCTCCATCTCCCCGCACATCGACCAGCCCAAGGTGTACTACAAGCTGAAGCGGCTCAAGAGCAAGTTCGACCACGCGGTGCCGTCCGCGGTCGTCAGCCGGCACGAGCAGCGCCTGCGCGACCTCTGCAAGAAGGTCTGGGGCGCCAACTTCGGCCTGCCCGCCGAAAAGGACGCCGCGCCGGAGGAAGAGGAGGACGACGAGGAGGAGGAGCGCGGGCGCGGCAACGTCCCGGACGCGGCAGCCATGCTCCCGGTGGCCACCGAGGTGCTCGATGCGTACTGGAAGACGGACGGCCCGGCGCTGTCCGGGGTGTCCCTGGAGAAGGGGCTGTCAAAGCTAGCAACGGAAGACGCGAGATGGATCGAAGCCAAGTGGAGGCGGCAGCTGGATGCAGAAGTGCACTCGCAGATTAAGCGGCACGATCTGGCCAAGGAGGTCTACGGCCTGCTCCTTGACGCCATTAAGGGCCTCGGCCCCTAGCTCTGGTATGACTGTCAACCCCGCCAATGTTGCATCTGGTCTTCAGAAAACAACTTAGTATGCTATTTGCTTCACCAGTTTAACTTCTTGCTGGGTAATCAGCTTACAGTTGCTATGCATTCTGTTATTTAGTGTTTGTTAGGGTCAATTACAGTAGATTTGCTTTGTAAAATTGCTTGGAAATTGAGTTAGAATATTTTGTGCATTCTTGTTATGTAGTGTCTGGCTATTACTACAATATTTTGTCATCAATGGTAACCCTCTTGTGTGGTAGTATGACTTCGTTCCACAAAATTAGCTCATCAACTGTTCCATCCCGTCAGCTAGAAGATACTGTTAGATTCTGCAATTATGCTCTTCAGTGCGAACGAAGTAACATCTTGTTTTGAAAAACTGCGAAAGATCAGAACTCGAGCGTGCTAAAATAGCTTGGTTTCAGTTTGTTTACACGACTAGGCCCAGATAATTGCATAACTTGGATCTCAGATTTAATTATTTATTCTCTACATCAGACTTGATGATGTCAGTTCTAAATTGCCAGCAACTCCTCAGTTCTTTGTTTTCCTCTACTGTAACCCTTAATTCGATATATCCTTGGAGATCTGATTCTCAAATACAAATGCATCCTACTTCAGCCATCTATTCAACACATTACTTGTAACTGATAAGCCAGGCATAGTTACTGATACAGCCAAGGCAGGAACAGTTTTGTTATAACTGTGCTTCTTCTATGCAATAATACGGTACGATCTATGCAATCTATGTCCCTACCCCACTTGAAATCTTTCAATGTGCTTCTTCTATGCAATGATACTGAGATGCTGTCTGGACTTCTTGGTCTATGCATAATAATGACAGAATCTTCTATCTATACATGGGTAATGTTGGTTTCATATTCCTTAGAGCACCTGTATTATCTAGACGCCATAGTAGACATCTTGTCCCTACCCCACTTGAAATCTCTCCTGAATATCTACATTGCAAAGTCGATACTTCTAGGAATTCTATTTGTTTTGTGACCGGCTGCAGGTTTGCAGTAAAGTTTATAGTAACATCCCAGTGATCTTTCTTGCATTGTCTTACCTGCTGAGCACTCAGCACCACTTGAATTTACTGTCTCTTGTTAAGATATTTTGCGTGAGATATCCTCTTCCCTTGTTTGCATCCACTCATGTTATCCAAACACTCCTGCAGGTACAAGTTGATGAGGTGCGCCGAGCCAGCTAGATCTGTATTCAGTTGCTGAGTTACAAGACCTTATCAAGTAATGATCAGCGCCGACATGCTGTAGCTGTACAATCTGCATGTCTCTGTCTGCTGCGTCTAGTTACTGTCACTTTGCTTTAGGTTCATATAGGTGCTAGTTTTGCTCTTCCTTTAGATTTAGACCATGAAAATGATTCAGATGCTCAGCCGATTTGTAAACTGTTTTGTAACGTCTGTGTCTGCGATGTTAGGGCTGCATTTTTCAACTGTAAGAATCCAGCATCTTTTGGTTTTCATTGCTTGATGGTGTGGTGAAAATAATTTGCTTAACGTGCGTTACTGAGTACCCAGTTCCACGATCTGCCATTAAACAGTTGACTATTTTTCATATGCCATTGATGTTCAGAAGTTAGGCATTCCATGCGTCCATGCCAAATGCATTTTCATATTTTTGTTCTGTTGATGACCAGAAAAGAGGCAGAGAACAATATTGTGCAGATTGCGACTTGTTGCTGTGCTGTTTTGCACGACACTGATCGCAAGTTGCAGTGAGTTTCGCAAGCATCTTCAGTGAGGAAGCCAGATGATGGTACGATCGTGCAAGCAGCAGCAATAGCCAATAAGTAGCAATACAACAGTTACAGAGGACAATACAAGACATTATATACATGCATACAACATTATCAGTTGGAGATTCTGCTGGTTCATCTGCTCCCCTGCTCCTTGTTATTTGTCCCAGGACTCATGCGCTTGGGATATGATGCTGCTATCTTGGTGACTGGTGAGTGTCTGCTGCCCCTCCCTTTTTTTCGGGTTTAGTCTGCGCCCCTTTCATTTTCTTGCGCATTACATTGCATGTTTTATTCTTCTGAAATGAATTTGCGCAAATTACGCGCAAAGTCATTGATATGAAACTATATATCAAATGATCAAATACTTGTTTTTGCCAATTTACCTCTTGTTCATCTCAGAGGCTTGTGGATCAGCTCCCTGTCTTGTGATGGAAACACAAAATGCATTATGCATGAGATGACTAATTTCATCATCAGTTCCGAAGGACTCTGTGGAGCTGAGCTCCCAGCGCCGTCAGTGTAAGGGGTTTCTGGATCAGGCCGTTTATCCCCGAGTGGCGGCACATCTCACGGATGTTGTCGTCGACGGTCACGGCGAGAGCAGCAACTATAAGGAGCCAGCGCCTGTTCTTGAGCCCCCTGATCTGGAGTGCCACCTCAAATGCATCCATGTCAAGGTCCAGGAGGAGGAGCTGGAAGGAGGAGCCGGCGCTCCCCAGCAAGGCCAGGCAATGGGCGCCTGACGACACCGATATGACCTGGCAGCCGAGCTGCTCGAGGAGCTTCTGGGTCACCGCCCGGCTCATGCCGTCGCCATCTGTGAGCAGGATCCTCAGGCCGTTGAAGTGAGGGATGGACGACGACGTTCTTCGGCACACGCGTGATTGCTGCAGCTGGAAGTGCAGGATGAGGGTGATGCTTTCGCCATCCGATGCCGACCGCATGGTACCGTTCATCATCTGAAGAAATGAGGTGAAGGATGAATTAACAACCGGTAGCTGCAAAATTTCCTTCTGGTATACCAAGTGAATACCAACCTGCACAATCTTCTTGCACATGTTGATCTGAGAGCTGGCCGGGCTGCTGGGTGGCTGGCTGCATCCAGTTGATCTTTCCATGGCAACCTGAAACTCAACGCATATGCTACAACCTGCAGACAGATTTGGGCACACCGGGATGCAATCCTTTTGGTCCGCACTGCAGCTCTTGATGGAGAATGAGAGACGCCCTGCTCCATCGCGCCGCTGACCGAGCACATCACCCGCCATTTGCAGCAGGTGATGGAAGACCCTCGTCTCGTCGCCAACGACCCACTCAGGCAAGGCGTTCTCCAGCTGGTACGAGAAACCAGCCCCGCCGCAGCTGGCCAGGCACCCGGCGACGCTCATGGCCTCCCTCATCAAGGAGCGCAGGTCGAACGGCATGCGGTTCACCGTCAACGTCTCCGTGTCGACGTCGTTCATCAGTGCCAGCGACAGGGTGCTCGTCCTGGCAATGGCGTCGGCCACGAGCCTCTGCTCGGGGCGCATGTCCTCCGCCTGCCGCACCATGGAGAGCAGGCCGATGATGGAGTACATCGGCCTTCGCATGCCGTCGCACATGGCGCTCTGGATGCTGTTGATGCCCTCGGTCGCCATCATCGCGTCCTGCTTGGCGTGCAGCAAGGCCCTGTTCTGCTCGGCAAGCCTGTCGCTCATGGCCTGCCACTCCTCTAGGACCGCCGCGTGAGAGAGCGCCACGGCGACCTGGTCGGCGATAACCTGCACAACCTCCAGGTCATGGCCGCTCCACTCTCTGGAACCGGAGCCTGATGCCTTGCTGCGAAGAGCCAACACCAGTATGGCATATGAGCTCGCCACCGGTGTCTTTCCTCCGTCGAAGTTGGAGACCTCGAGCATGGGGATCCGTATGGCAGCCACGGCACCCGGCGGCTGGAGCTCGCCGCTGCTCGCCGTCGCGAGCTCCGAGCCTGGCCTGAGCACCTTGGCGGCCTCGCTTGCCATTACGTCGATCACGTCCGGGTCACCCGGGGAGATGGGAGCCTGCGAGCCGAGCACGACGCGGACGGGGCCCTTGCCCCTGAGGCTGAGCTGGTGCACCAGGTGGAGGTCGTCGCCGGCGTCGCGGCCGGGCATCCAGACGGCGCAGCTGTGGAGCTCGAGGGCGTCGGCGAGGTGGAGCATGGTGGTGTGGAGGATGGAGTGCGCGTCGAGCGGGGAGCTGCGGATGCGGTGGGTGAGCATGCGGACGACGCGGGAGGTGGCCTCGACGCGGCGGCGGATGAGGCCGAGGTCGCGGTCGAGCTGGCGCGCCTTGGCCCGCAGGAACGCCTCCCGGAGCTTGGCGCGGATGAGGCGCGGGATGAGCGCGACGAGGGAGACGGCGGTGGCGAAGGAGACGAGCGCGGCGAGGAGCTTGGCGGCGGTGGAGGCGAGGAGGAGGCCCGAGGAGTGCGGGTGGGCGAGGGAGAAGACGGCGAGCAGGTGGGTGGCGCCGCCGAGCACGGCGAAGGCGGCCAGCTGCAGCAGCAGCCACTTGAGCGGCGCGAGGTCGGCGCAGGAGGCGAAGTAGAGCAGCTCGAGCGGGATGGAGAGGTAGGAGGCCGCGATGAGGAAGTCGCTCACCCGCTGGCACTGCAGCATCGCCTGCACCGCGCCGTCGTCCCGCCCGTCGCACGCGCCGCCGCAGTAGTACCGCTGCACCGCCCCCGCCCCCGCCCCCGCCGCCGCGAAGTGCCGCGCCATTGCTGCCTCGGTCGGTTCTTCCCTCCGGTGGCTGGTCGAGCTAGCTGGTCTGAGCGGTCAAGGCTAATGCATGCAGTAGTATATGCATGCGCGCAATGATTTGGTCGGAGAAGATGCCGACGTGGAGAGAGAGACGCGGCGGTGGCGGTTTGATTCCGGTGCGGTGGCGAGCCGGGGAGAGGACAGGTGTGTGCCCAACGCTGACATGCCCCATGCATCGGGCGCCACCCTGACTAGCCGACAGCCCAGCCCAGCCCAGGCCTTGCAACAGAGGAGGAAGAACTGGGCAAATGAATCTTCTCATTTCTTCGTAGCCACGCACCCTCCTCCCCGCCAGCCCGACTTTCCGGATTTCCAGGCAGATAGATGACCCATTTTCGGCGCAGCCGCGTAAGAACTCGACAAAAGAACATTCAGCCTTGTTCCTTGCGAGAAACTTGCTCGGAAATCATTTTATTCGCTCCACAACCAGGTTATTCATTTTTATTCCTGTTTTAACAGGCACACGGAATGTTCTGCAGATGAAGAAGCTTGTTCGTAGGTACACGTCACGAAAGAGCAGCACGCTTAGGAGGGAGTAGTATGTCACTGAAAGAATGTGTTGTTGGCTTCTCATGGGCCTGTAAAAGGCTAGGCTAGCGAGAGCTCTCCCGCCGGGATTTTCCTCTTCACCAATTTCTCCCATGACTCGTTGGTTTCTTCTATCACCTTCAGGGCATATTCCTGGTTGCGGCAAACAAGGACATAGACATATATTGCATAAATATCTTCTGCGTTTCAAGAGGGTAAACCAAGAAGCTGAGCTAAGATCGGGCTTACCTTGCTTGTGGGCTTGTTGCCGAGGCCGAATCTGTTGGCGGGCTTTCCGTCTGGTATCTTGTAGTCTCTGAACCAGTCTCTGATTGCAGTCAATGTTCCCTGAATAGGTGCCACAATTAGGTTTCAAATCAATGCCCACAGTGGAACTGATCTGAACTTGGTACAGTATTTTTGCAAACTACAAAAATTATTCCACCACTCATCATCTAACTTGGTTGGTGAGATTTTTGAATTGAGCCCTATAAGCCGGAAGGGAGGGAATAGATTGCTAGAGTTCAGTAATTATACCAGGAGTTCAGTAATTATACATGCACTTGTGGTCAGAAAAGCATGTGGTAGATTGCTACTCCCTCCTTTCCGGTTTATAGGGCTTATCTCAACATTTTTGTTTTTTCAATTTATAGGGCTCATCTCCATCTCATTTTTAGTTTCCAAGACACATTAAATCTTTGCATGTAAGAATTAAAAAGGAACACACCAATGCATATAATGTTTCTACTTATCTAGTGGCCAAGCATGCATGCACTGCAATTAATCCAATTTAATGCATGAGTTTAATTGGGGTAGTTTTGTAAAGTACGAGATACATTCCTCCACTCACAAAATGCCTTGATTGATGAGATTTCAGATTTGAGCCTTATAAACCGGAAAAGAGGGAGTACAGTTCAGTAATTATACCAGGAGTACTCTATGTGTTTCCTTTTCAATGCCATGAATGCAACCAAAATATTTTTGACATTGATATCTGGATTATATTGGTTAGGGAAAATGAGTACAAGGAAACATCCAGACGTAGGTGCAACTGAGTTGCTCCCAACTACTTAGCTGTGATCAATACTAGAAACAGAAAACGGCGCTCATATGATATGTGTGCATATCCTACTTTATGTAAGGGTATATAGGCACCAGATACCAAAGGAGAACAAGGACAAACACTAAACGTAAGGACAAGGACATCAATCATACCGGAAAATGCTCCTCGACATCATCTACATCATTCACAAGAGATGCTTTGGGATCATCCAGAGAGATGGCCACAATTTTCCAGTCAAGCTCTCCCTCGTCGATCATTGCTAAAGCTGCCAATGGTTTCACCCTAAGAACATCCCCAATATTGGCCCGTCTTTCACCAATCTCGACAACATCAACTGAGAAAGAAGTTCAAGGGAAATATTTATTACAGTGGATAGAGCTAATATAAAAAACATGCTCATAGAAGATAGTAAAACAGAGAAGTTAACTACCAGGATCATTGTCTCCAAGTGCTCCTTCAACATCAGCATTTGCAGCTGTCGGGTCCTCCCATGTCTGGGGAAGTAACCCGTAGTTCCAGTTGATGTTGTACCTAATATAACAGATGATATCAGGAATAGCCACACACAGTTATCAACAGGGGCATTAGTTGCATAAACTCATTATCTCAATTGCCTTGCCAGCAAGCAGGGGAATTTCTCACTTGAAGCTTGTGTCAAATAAAACCTCAACAAGAAAATAAGTACTTCAATAAGGGGCAGTTTGGTTTGCACATCTAAGATTAGGCAAGTTTGACCAACTTAGGTGGGTGTTTGGTTCAAGCCACGCCTTAGGCAAGCCATACTAGGGCCCCGCATGACATACACACAAAAAATGTGGCAAGATTGCCTTAGGCTTGCCAATTTGTGGCTCTCATTTTGTTGAACTAACCTTAGACAAGCTTGGCAAAAATGCGTGGCAAAGTGTGGCAATATAAGGCCTAGAACCAAACAGCCCCTAAATATGCACACTAACCCCTTTTCAACAGGAACCAAGATAAGGCATGAAAGAACAGCTTAAAATTTCTTTTGTCAAGAAAAACGACCAAGCACACTTAAATATTCAACAACACACTTCAACTTGAACCAGTACAACCTAGCTATGGTCAGTAAAGTTTTGGTGGCATTTAATCATAGAGATTTTTAAGAGCACTCTAGATTTGATTTTGTATAAATATGAACAGTGTATCCTCACGAGATCTGCTATTTTTTAGATGGGCATATGAAAAAAGGGAACCAAAGTAGAGTTAAAAGTGATCCCACTGCCATACATAGGAGAATATAAAATCTTGAAGAAGTCCCTAAAAGAGATAAGTCCATATAACAACCATGAACTCTGAAACCGCCTAAGATTCAATCCTGAAGGCCTGAACTATCAAAATCGGCTGGGAATCAACCCTCCCCTCTCCTCAAACTGGTTTTTGCTGAATGGGCCTGATTTTGATGCGTTAACCGACCAGTCAGCAGCCACATAAGCAAGCCCACTTAAAATATTTTTTGACCTAAAAATGGAAGTGCCCATAAAAAAATGAAAAATATCTATAAAATCAACACTAATATAGTGATCATTCTGGGAAAGGTTCACACATTTTTGCCAAAATGATTAAAAGTTACACTTAAATTACATTTTCGCCCCCTTTTATGGTCAAATTTTGACCAAAAATTGAAAACATTCTGTAAAATTAACACAAATATAGTGATCATTCTGGAAAATTTTCACGCATTTTTACCAAATTTAAAATACACTTAAATTACATTTTCAGCCCCTTTTTTGTTCAAATTTTGACCAAAGAAATGAAAGTCTCCATAAAAAATTGAAACCATTCTGCAAAATTAACACTAATATAGTGATAATTCTGGGAAAGTTTCACAAGTTTTTGGTAAACAGATTTAAAACTACATATAAATTATATTTTCAGCCCCTTTTGGGGTCAAATGTTGCCCAAAAAAATGAAAATGTCCAGAAATAATTGAAAAACTTCAGTAAAATCAACGCTAATACAGTTATAATTCTGGCAAAGTTTCACACATTTTTGCCAAGCAGATATAAAAATGCAATTAAATAACATTTTCAGCCCCAAATTTTGACAAAAAGATGGGAGTGTTCGGATTTTTTTTAAATAATCTGATCAACACTAACATAGTGATCATTCTGGGAAAGTTTCAAACATTTGTTCCAAACAGAATTAGGAATGCCCTCAAATTTTGACCAAAAAAGGGGCTGAAAATGTAATTTAAGTGTATTTTTAAATCTATTTGGCAAAGAAGTGTGAAACTTTCACAGAATGATCACTATAGTAGTGTTCATTTTACACAACTTTTTCAATTTTTTTCCTGGACACTTCCATTTTCTGGTCAAAATTTAAGTTAAGCGGACTTGCTTACTGGGATGCTGACTGGCAGGTCAACGGATCAAAACCAGGTCTACTCAGCGAAAACCAGTTTGAGGAGAGGGGATGGTTGATTCCTAGCCGGTTTTCATAGTTAAGGGTTGAAGACGGTTTCAGAGTTCAGGGTTGAATCTTAGATAGATGGAAGAGTTCAAGGTTGTAATATGGACTTCTCTCTCCCTGAAATAAAACATATGGCGGCCTCTATAGCCTTTCTACATTGAAGTAAAGCTTCCTGACAGTGATTGATGCAAGAGTACTAATCTCCTATTATTTCTCCACTATACCACAAAGGAAAGCACGAAAAGAACTACCACTCTGCCGGTTTTTCTTCCAAAGTTACCTTTTAAATAAAGGACAACAACAGAACCATCGGTTGGTGCAAGGTTTGCTAATATAAAAAAACTACAGTGACAATCAAAGATCCTGTGTTTGTCTTCATATTGCCACTTACGGTTACGGACAATGACAATCTACAGTGAAAAGCAAATATCATGTATTTCTCTTCATATTGCCACTTACAGTTACGAACAATGACAAGCAAAGATCATGTGTTTGTCTTCATAAACACAAAATGACAATCAACAGTGACAATAAAAAGCTTAGTTGTAGACATTCCACCACAACACTTTAGTTGGTACCACTAGAACACATATATGAACTATCAGTACAAGTGCAAGTGTTTCTCTTCATATTGTCACTTACAAATCTTTCAATCAAGGTTAAGTTGTCTGCCAGCAATTCCACAAAGGATCATCAAATTGCCAGAAAGTACACGAAATACATCTTCATATATGCCAATTTGCATAAAATTGTAACCCTTAAGGTTAGGCCAGACAACAGACATATTTACTCACCAATAATTCCATAGTCTCAGCCATAAAGGCGAAAAAGACTGTAAACATTTGACTGGAGACTACAACTACTCTCTTAATCCTACCACAAATTCGAGCCACCCATTACGGCAATTGAATTATACCAGCCAAACTCATGAGAAGGATGTAATCTCCAACTTAGTTCTCATGGCCACTAAATTTCTAAAAACCATAACCATAAACTTTGCTACTCCCTCAGACCCAAATTAATTGTCACATCTTCGGTACAACTTTAGTTCAAAGTTGTACTAGAGCTGCGACAATTAATTTGGATAGGAGGGAGTACTAAAATTGTAAAGGCGCCAATATTTTTTCACCAAATTCATATCATGGGGATGGTATCCTCCCTCTTTGTAACACACTGTTTTATCCTCTTAAGGCACTAGAACCAAAACCGAAATAAGAGTTCTGGTAGTGCAGCAGTAAGTCAACAACTGTTACTCATCTCTAATCTATTACATTCTTCGTTCCTAAGATAGGAGTAATAAGCTTGGAAATTTGGTAAACTCATGGCATTCTCTTCTTGTCGATGAAACCTCTAGCCCACTACTTCTTTCCATTTAAAAGGGCCTCACAGCCCCCAATTTCATCAGAACAGCAATCAATTTGCCTCTAGACATCTGGCCTCTAGCCCTCTACTAAACAATCCCAATCATTTCGCTCGCTAATATAGCCCCAACTTAAATTTGTGTGACACGGAAGACGCAATATTTATCAGCAATAACGTAAATTATGGCATTTGGGGTCGAAATTTCCTTGGTTTCAGAGTCCTTACGGGTAGTAACGAAGGTTGCCCTTCTTGGTGTCCTGCTTGATGGGCGTGTAGGCCTCGTCGGTGGCGACCTCCATCTTGGCGCTGCTCTCCTTGGGGATCTCCACGATGAAGTGGAACGCCCCGTCCCCGGCGCGGAGCGGCACGTCGTGCCACGGGGACACCTTGCGGTCGGCGCCGTCGACGAGGAAGACGCGGTAGTCGAGCGTCTCGGGCTGGCCCTGGTCCTTGGGCTTGAGCTCGGTGGGCCTGAGGAGCGCGGTGGTGGTGAGCCCCGGGCGCTGGAAGCGCACCGCGGTGCGGGGGCGGCAGCTGCTGCGCCGGAGGGCGACGCCCGCCAGGCGCGTGAAGCGGGTCGCCGCGGTGGCCGACGCCGTGACCGCCGTCGCCATTCGGGGTGTACCTGGGGGGTCGCCGCCGGGGTAGGTGAGGAGCGGGTGGAGGTGGCGGCGGCGGCGGTCACTGCGGACTGGAAAGTGGAGCTGCGGATGACGAGGCGATGAAACTTTTTGCGGATTTTGCGTGGTGGCTACGGGCTGTGCTAGGTGGGCCCTATCCTGACAGATCTCGAGAATATTTTCATGGGCCACGTGCAGGCCTTGTTCGTAGGGTACGCCTAGGCCCATTTGGATGCTGGGCTAAAAAATGGGCTCCCAGTGTGGTACGTGCTTCCATTCGTCGTCTTTCCTCAATTCCCCATCTGTATTGTGTTAAAAAAACTCATTGGACTAAAAAAACAATCATTCTCCGTTTGGAACACCAGAAATTAGAAATGCACAAGAATGTTGTTGTTTGGATGGCACGTAGAAAAAACAGATGAATTGTGGACACAAAGAGAAAGAAAATGAAGTAAGATCTCATGTATGGTTTTCCTCCAAAATTTATATGGAATAGGCCATTCCATAGAAAAAAAATCAAAGAAATGTAGATTAACAATTTCTTTGTTCCAAATGTTACCACAGAAATATTTTCTATGTGAATCTTATCTTCTGAAATTTCTACGCTTGTCTTTTGTACCAAGCGGGGCCTTAGAATCTGAAGGAAAATAACTCATGTTATCGTCATCTTTTCACATGTATAGATAGAAAACACTAGTGCTGTAGTGCACATAGGTGTGCATACAATCACACATTACTTACTAATGAATAGAGTTGCGAAGTTTCAAGATCGACTAAATCACCATATGCGCCTCATTGTTGATAGTATATTATGACGATCTCACTCAGAGAACAATTTAGCATTACTTGGACACATGGGACGCCAAACAATGATTGTTTCTCACCTAGCCGCCTCTCGTTTTCCTTCTCCTTCCCCCACACAAGGTGGCTAGGGGTTCTCCCTCTTCTCCAGCAAGGCCGCTAGCTATTCCCCTCTGCCTCCAACTGCCATTTAGGCGTGAGGAGACGAATCGGTTCTTCATGTGATGTGTATTTTCAGTCCATGTAGGTTTTTGTTCATGTGTCTTGGCGGCGACAACGCCGCAGAGATGTTGAGGTGGCAAAAACATCGTGAAGATGGAATAAGTCCCTATGGCCTCCTTTCCGTCTCAAAAATGTTTTTTCCAATGTTAGTGGCGGGCTTGTCAGGGTGTGGTCTCGTCCCGTGGATATGGGTAACCAGATATTTTGGGTGATGTGATGGTACCGACGATGGCGGTCAAAATGGTCAATCCCAATGTTGGATCTAGGTGAGTGTGAAGGTGGAACGAGAAAGCCTCCTCTCTTTTGTAATGCCTCATATGTCTGTTCTTTTTCCTTCCCATTGGTGGTTCCGCGACAAATCTCCAACAACTTATTCTCGGTATGCGTTGTTGACCCACATTCTTTTAGCGTGTAATTTTCCATGCCTCTCGCGGCATGTTTCTATTGCGATTCCTCTAGCACATGGTGGTGTGTGTTGTTGATAGATATTCCAGTGCGATTTTTACAACTGCTCCTTACTATAGTTTTCTGCGATGATGAGGTCAGTGACGTTTGCTAATAAAATGGAGTTGAAAGACTGTGAAGACTATGATGTATTTTCTTATTTCTTGTTTGGGTCTTTCCGTGGGTGTTTGTTCTGAAAAAAAAAGAACAATGAATGGTTATCGTATTGTGGTCTACTCATGAAAAATAGAAGGCAAATAGTGGAAATTGCTATTGGAGCTCGGTCTTTTTCTTGTGGGTATTGGAGCTCGGCCTTTATGAAGTCTTTTTTTCTGAAAGATTCAAAAGGTGAGTTTTTTGTTTTAAAATTTTCAGCAAAATACACGTGTACATATGGATGCATTCTGCATGTTTGTAAAGTTTCATGATGAAATAAATTTTGCACAAAAATCACAAAATATCTTTTTCAGCACTTGTTTGAACTTAAATAAGAGTTTTTATATATAAAACAAATAGCAGGTTATTTCTGCCTACAAGGTCATGATCGATTCTTCTTGCTGGTGGGCAAATGCCACATCATGGATGCCATGTCACGCAAAAACACCTTCTCCAATCTTCTTTGAGGTTGCAACTTAACCCGTATCGAAAGTTGAAGGTTGTGCAGTAAGCTTAAGTTCAGGGTTGAACCTCAAACCATATGGTAAATTCAGGGTTGAAAAGTGCAGCACCTTCTCTGAACTTAAAGAACAAACAGTCAAAATCAGCAAGAACAAAGCCTTTTGCAGCACGAGGATACTTCATCAGAACATGTTCTTATCAGAACAAGCGTACGGTGTAATTTTTATCAGCAAGAACAAAGCATTTTTCATGACGAGTAGACTTCAGAGCAGGTCCTTATTCAGAACAAACGGTCATAATCAGCAAGAACAAAACGTTGTGCAGCACGAGGAAGACTCGAGAGCAGGTCCTTATTTAGAACAAAAGGTTCTAACATCACTAGAACAAAAGGTCATGAATCAGCAAAGAAGAAAATGTTGTGCAGCACGAGGATACTTGAGAACATGTGCTTGATCCTGAAGACGGCATCTGAATCAGGAACCACAGAGGCAGGTAGCACAGAATCGTGGTGACAAGGGAACGGGTCGAGAACTGACGGTGCGTGGTGGCGTCTCCAAGTAGAAAGGTCAAAATATGAAACATGTGCATGCAGCGATCACTATTCAGTTGAGTTGGGCATCGATTCTTTGCGAGCGAGTGAATCAGGAATCAGTTCGGTGGCGGTGTGTCCGGCTGCGTCGGTCTGCATGCCAGGTTCAGTTTCCATTTGCAGGAACATACTCGATGACTCCGTTCAGGAGAGGCAGAGGGAATTTATGCTTGGCCACGAACGCTGTGGAAAGGATTTTCCTTTTTGAGGGAAATGCTGCCGAAAGGATGTTTGGCGAGGTGCATTAACGTCCGTGTGGGTTGGCTCAGCAGCAGGGGAGGAACCAAGCAAGCACCACGTTTGTCTGTAAAAAAGGGGGCAATACTTAGCTAAGTACATTTTGGTTGTATTTAAGGTCGGAGTCGAAGTCACGCACCGATGAATGTAAAATGCCTACGGAAATGCTGAAAATCCGACGTCAGGTTTTTAGACATGGAAAATCAAATGTTTTTCATGGCAATTTATGTTGCTGTAAGAATGGTAAATTTAGTTTGCAAGCATGGCAATTTCTTAGCAAAAGTATGAAGTGAAGTGAATTTGCCATGCTCGCCAACCAAACTTGTCATCCTCAACAAACATAATTTGCCATAAAAAACATT